CAACTTTGAACGACTTTCAAGAAATTAACTTAATCAGTTCGGATGTCTTTTGAGAGAAAAAAACGGCTGTTTTGCCGATAGGGCTCGAACCCGCCTCCCCTTGGTCGAGAGGCAAACAATTTTCACCCCTCAGCCTTCTAAGGCACCTATACACTTCTTAGTTTTAAACTTTTATGCTGTCTTTTGAACACGAGGGATGTAGTTCCTCAAAACGTTGTAGATAAACTATAAGTAGATAGGATCAATGTTTTAATATATATTTGTTATTTATAGTGTTATTTATAGTAACAAGAAATTGGAACAAATAATAGATCAATGTTATTATTATATGTGCATAACCAAGATAAATGTTCAATATAACTATAAAGTTGTGTTTCTTTTTGTTAAGGTTAATTATTATTTTGTTTGTTTATTATTATGAGTTAATAAATATATTGAAAGAATATAAAATTAATGTGTTCTTGTGTTTAAATTTTTCCCTGTACCGGATTTAAAATTTTCTTTTTACCCGACAGGCATCTTGGATTTAAAATTTACTATGTACCTGACATGCACCATGAGATTTTCTGGCAACAGTAAAGCTGGAAAAAACTTGGCCATATGTATTATTGAAAAGTAAACGCGAAAGAATAGAGCGACCTGAAAGTTAGATTAAAATAAGACAACTGCACTTGGTGATAAGTCTAGTTTATACACTGGAAAACAATTAAGTCCATGTCAAATTTTTTAATTAACAGGAAAATATGCTACATGCTTTCAATGATTTTTTTTTTTTTTTTTTTTTGGGGGGGGGGGGTCGCACCAACAGAGTAGATTTCTTACGGCGACTTTACACATTACAAATTCAATGTCCCTGTCGTCGGGATTTAAACCCACATCGCCGAGGGTCAAATGGTTTGAAGTCAACGTCCTTAACCATGCACTCTATCACGGACAGCCCGGTGTATATAAACAAGCAGAATATTGATAATCGTCATAAATGTACCAGATTTGTAAGATGCTGAAAAGATATGTCATTTTATTGTACGCTTTTCCATATTACGCTTCTTTAAAAGCCTGAAATAAGGAAAATAGGGGCACCTGAGGCTTTCTTCCACCAATAGAGCTGTAATATACCCATTTGGCATTTACATTGTCGGTTTGACATATAGAGCCCAGTCAGTAAAAACGGTCAGAAACTTGCCGTTTCAGCCTACATTGTATCTGGGACTTGCCTCGTTTTAGGTGCCAGATTGTATATCATTCGAGTGTCTTCTACTTGAAATACCCTGATCATTCCACCCAGAAGTTTGGACGATATTTAAGAATTTTACATATCATTCATTGCCAATGCCAGCTTTTTTATTCTGTCATTTGGCAAAAGTGTGGTCTTTTTATTTGACAAGATCACGGCTTTAATGCCTTGATAAGATATTTGGCCCTTTCGTGGCTTTAACATAGATTTCGGAATGTTTGCTATGTTGCCCATTTTACCGACAATTCTTGTCTCAATGCATTTACTGTTGAATTTAAAACTGCTTGACGTCTGATGAAGTCCTATCTATATCCGGATTTTATCAACATTTTATCCTTTTGGATTATTCTTTAAAACGTTATTTTCTATCATAATATTTTGTCTACCGTACAGATGAATTAAGGCTAAAAAACCGGTCCCGTATCTACGGAAATTATAAAAATGCATAACGCTCTCGAGCCCTCTTGTGTTACATCATAATTTAAATGAAGCATGCGTATTCGATGATTGAAAATCCTGATCGCCGACATAAGTTAATCAAAAGATGTCATCGGCTGTTTTTTTAGTTTCCCGCTTAATCAATACGATAAATAAGGATTAAATGCATTTTCGTGTTACTTCTTATTTTTGTATCTACCGGATGAATTGAAAATAAATCTAAACGAAAATTATAGGAAGTAGCATGGGTCGAAAAATGGCAAAATACGGGTATAATTGTTGCGTTTATATCTCCGGTAGGCGAATGACTTGTTATTTGAACGCTCGGATTCAATTGATATCCATTTAAGGATACCTTTTCAGCGAATAATTGCGGTAAATGAAATTAAATCGGGAACATTGAGAGGCTTTTTATTGTCGCATGGGAGGCTTGACGATAAATTTCACCTATTTATCTCAGCGAAAACAAGAGAATGAACGCCGTTAACTTTTCGCTGCAATAGTAAAGTAAACCTGAATTGCATTTAAAGTGGATTTCGAGTAATTATTTAATTATTTCATAATTATCGTACTAGGAGGCCAGTAGACTCTAAACTGATCACAGAGATGGCATTCTGGAATAAAGTTTACGCGTCTAGAATCTGCCAGAAATCTGCACGAGAAACACATGATTTTAAGTACTCCTAAACTTTTCGTTGTTGCTTTCTGTTTTCGTTTATTTTTTCTTCTTTTGGCCGTTGTATACAACACAAGCGTATTTAATTGCGCTGAATCACAGAATTGTACATGGCTTTCGAACTTATAACCATACAGGTATCTGGACCGCCGTTGCCGAGTGTTTACGGCGGTAGTTTTCGAACCACAATCACCTTAACACTGTGAATTTGAATCCCGCCTGACACTGAGGATTTTTTTATCCATGTAGCTTACGGAATATCGGTGGTTCTACACAGGTGCCCGCTCATGCCTGATATAATGCACGGAAAGGAATCGGAGGACTTCCTCTAGAAATAAAGCTGGAATGTCGCTCTATGACCTGTATAATGTTGGTGCAACTTAAAATCCAACCAAAATATACAAATACCTTAAAGCGGCATGTCTCCAGATGAGCCTAAAATATGTCAAGGAAATTAAACTTGAGAAAATGCAGAATAAAAATTAAAAGATTTTAAGAAAAGTAAAACGATTTCAGATTCAACTGATAATTTACATGTTATGAGCGATTAATGACTGATTTTTCAGTACTTATCACCATATTTCTGAAGCGTGACTAACGCATTAACGGCTATTTATGCCAGAGATTTATGATAAGGCCCTACCATTTGCTTCGTCATAGTTTTACTTGCTATAAACAATATCATATCCTTAAAAAATTGTTTGACGTTGCGCTTCTTAAATTGTACCGCCAAATTGTTAAACCCTGGTTTCAAATAAAAACAGTTAATTATCTGTAATGACAAATTTATATTCGTCTGTTTCATTCATTTATTTTAATAAAATGCTTACGTTTAAACAAAAGGTCATATAATAACGCAGGCTGACTGCAAAAAGAGTTATAACATTATTTCGCTTTGTTAACGCTGGCAATGACCGTAAGATACCGATTCTGTATGGTCGGATTTAATCAAATGTATCTTGATTTTTAAGTGTAAAAATAAATTGCATACTAAATAGTATTTTTTTCCAAATGACGGTAAACTGTTGCTGATATTTCGTTACCCTATGTGTGTTATTAAACCAATGCATACATAAGTAACATCTTTGTTTTAAGAATTAACTTCTTGATAAAATATCGGTACACTAACGTGCCACATTGAAGACTGCGGATGTTTCAAAATTCAAAATTTTACCAGTTCATGTTGAATTCTTCTTAAGCCGGTGCTAGCGGACGTGGACGGTAGTTTGCATTTACCACTACCGTCCATGATAACAGACTCAATCAAACCGAGTCCGCAACATTTTCAATTTTGCAGTGTTTGGCTTTCTTTAGGGATTCCGTTTTCTTTCAAAAAAATTAGTTTAGATCGACGATATAATTACTTTTTAAAGGCACATGAAGCGTCAGAAAAGGTAAAACTATCTTTTACGTATATTATTATAATTATGAACAGGAAGAGTGTTTGATGTTTGTCACATAAAAAAAACCCTGAATGTAAAATAATTTGTAATTAAAATGTAAATAAAATGGTATTTAGACTTCAATACAATATCCGAGTACTATTCTAAAATCAATGTAACTTAAAGTGACATTATCCGAGTACTATTTTAAAATCAATGTAACTTAAAGTGACATTAAACATTGACAAAATATTTCAACAGATCGACTGTAATAATAATGCTGGACCTACAGTTTATATTGGAATATGTTTTTGATAAAATATGGAAATACCCAAGATATTTAAAGGCTGCCCTACTGCTTCCAATGGCCACGTGAGTTATTTATCGTTCATGCGAAGTAGATGATAAAACTGAACATAACTATGGCAAAATTTAAACTTATTTCACCTCATGCTCGCTGTATGGACATAATGTCACTTTAACTAATGGTGAAGAAAAAATGGTTGGTCTATTATTATTGCTAAAAAGTATCTTTTTTGGTAACTGTAACAGAACACTAAAATACAATAAAATGTTGTTGTTGAATTTTTTTTATCAACTGAAAATATTGCATTCGTTGAGCGTCATGGGCATTTTAGTCAAAGGATATTGCATTAGCAATTGCCATGGCTTACTAAACCTTTATACGCATATACTATATGTACATGTTTTCTAATACCATTGCATTTTGTTTAATACAGATAGAACATAACAATTTTAGTGATTTTACGATCTTTTTATTTCTTACTTTTTTAAATTTCTACCGAAAAATATTAATGTCTAAATATAATTGCACCGTCTATCTTATCTTTTTGCTAAAATGATGAACACAAACCCCACTGAGGCATTTTTTTGACATGACGGGACTGGTAACTTTTTTTTACGCTTTTTATATCATTTGATGTAGGTCTGTGCCAATGTCAGGTCATTCGCTCAGTCCGTTATTCCAGTGCAAAATGACCTAAAATGAACAGCGTTGAAACTTTTAAAACTGAAATATGGCTAAAATTGCATTCTCTATTATATAGATATTATATATAACTTATAATTTAATTCCGAGTATATATTTATTTCTTTATTAACTTTTCCATTTTTTCCATTTCAAGTGCCCCAATTATTTTTTTCATATGTTCTTTTTAATGCATATTCTATGTTTTCAGACGTTTGGACCTCGGTGGGGCTCGTTAAAATCTTGTAAGATGTACATATTTCAATATATTTATTTTTACACCATATGTATTTCTTCATTCTCCAAACTTTGTTAAATTAAATACATGTATGTATACTGAATACGATGTGACTGAAATATTGCAACAAAATCAAGCACTATTTGTAAATATAAAAAGTGAAACAGATAAAAGATCAATAAATAGTATAAAACACTTAACAAATAAAACAGTTATTGAACATTTGATGTGACTTGTAAATCTAGAGGTTCGCATACGTTTTGCTCTTGGCAATTATTATGCGTGACAGTTTCTATTTTCACTCTTCTTTCATTTTGTTTGTGGCATAACTCAAGACTTTGTGCTGTATGATCTTGATGCACGTCAATGTTTCCTTTAAACAGGTTCGTTTTGTTTACACTACACGCTGGTTGTTTTGGTATATATATTGGGTAATTTGTCAGTTTGTTTTCTTCATCAAAACTATCTTCAGTCACGTCGATATCGGACGAACATTCATCCGACGAATCAAGATCTACGCAGTTGTCGCCCTTTAAGTCGGTTTCGCTGAAAGAGTTGTCGGTCGTGTCCGGACTCTGCGTCTGATGATTTGAAAAGTCAGTACACCCAAAAATAGATCCGTCTTCACCAAGTTTAAGTCTTTCGTGTATACGTTTATGTCGCTCAAGGTTGCTTTTATGACTAGTTGCGTAGTCGCAATGTGGGCATGTGTAATCTTTCTGACCGCTGTGTACCGATAGGTGGCGCTTCAGTAGAGCCTTCCGGCAAAATCGTCTGCCGCAGTAAGGACACGAGTACCCGTTATGATGAAATATCATGATGTGCTCTCGAAGAGAGGCTTTAGTACTGAAACTGACCCCACAACATTCGAGCAGTTTGTCACAAGTTTGGTGCATTGTAGAAATATGGCGTTTTAAATTGTTTCTGCGATCCGTAACATAACGACAGTGTGGGCAAGGAAACAGTTTCCCGCGGAAAGTGTTGCAGACGAGCATAGCGAGCTCTAAGTAATTTCTATTGATAGGAGTTTTTAATTTCTGTGATTCCATAGCTCCTGTGTTTGCCCGGCTAAGCGAATGTATAAGATTTAAATTTTGAAGTTCTTGCGCCTGGCTTCCGACGCTAAATGGTCCAAAAGGCATTGTGGGATATGGTATTAACGGAGTTGGAATCGCTACGGCAGACGACGGGTTCTGAATTGGAGGCAAAGATAAAACGGGTAATGGATGAAAACCGGCGTTTACTGGAAAGTTCATTAAACCAGTTCGTACATCAGTGGCCCTTGAATGTGCCGGAAGTGGATGGCGAGCTGGCTGTGGTGCAGGCAATTGTCTCCTGTATTCAGCCGGTAGTCTTACACCTTGAACATCACATATCCCAGGGGCACTGTAATATAAGACAGAAAAGTTTATTATTATTAGTTCAACATGAAAAGTAGTCTGTTACCACGGTACACATTCCGTATATGCTACATTACATTTAACATTTACCGGAACTGGTATACGGTAAATAGCCTGGAAAATATTATTATTGTTATGAAATATGACGCGAGAAATATAAAGAATTAAAACAATTTTTTCCCTGAACCAATGATTTTTTTTTCTTTGAACATATTGGTTACAGCAATAAGACAACACTTTGATTTCCGTGCACTGTGTGATTTGTATCATGATAGCATTACTTACATCAGAAATAATGTGTTCTTTAACTCTTTCAGTAAAACTTAAGGGAAAGTTAAAGATTCTTCTCTCTTTGCAGTTTGAATATTACGAGCTCAACCAAGGTAAAAAAGATCTAAAAACATCAAATTTGAAATTCTTGCCCAGATCTTGTTAACCACTTAAAATTGAAATACCTAAAAAAGGTGATAAAGAAATATGCTTAGAATAAAATGAAAATTGCGTTGCACCGCTTTTCATTGTTTTGACCATTTTACACTATAAAAATTGATGAATTCGGAACTGATTGTTTATTTCTTTTCCGCGGAACATATTTTGTATCTTGGTTCAAAGTCTTAAACCTATATTTACCGTATACTTTCAAAGGTTTTTTAATGCAAATATAGAAAAATTCAGTTGATCTCATTTCATATTTAACATAAAATTACAATTAATGAATTGTAGATATTTTTATTGCTTTTCTGCACCGACATGAGTAATTTCCAGTATACGATTAAATTTTAAAAAAGGGTAGAGGAAATTGCTTTCAAAACATGATTGACGTTTTCCCCCATGTCTCTATACACAATTTTCATGTATTCTATCTCGGTAAACAATAGCGTATGTAAGGTGTCGGTTACCCTTAGATTGGGCTCGCATTCAGCCGTCTATGGCGTCCCGCTGCGAGCCCATGGGCTCTTAGGTATAAGATTCACGTGTCAGGAGTAGAATGAAATATGTGTTGTTTTCTTTGAGACATCGTGGGCCTTCATCGTGGTGCTATATAAACGTCAGGCCCAGCGGTTGCAATACGATAGTTGGATTGATAGGCTACGACTAATGTTTTGAATAAATTAGCCATTTATTATATGCTATTATTCAACTCACCACGAATTAAGTATAACAAAAATAGAAAGGCGAATTTTGGTATGCTGCGTGACTGGGACACGACGTTCTTTGTAGTCGGGTTTGAATTTTGTATCCGCTTTTTTCATGCAAAAATATTCTTTATTAAACAGATATAAACGTGCCTTTTGCAGTCTGAATTCATTTAGTATTTTATCATCAAGGTAGTGTTCTTAATATATACTTAATAGTGGCATTATGATAAAAGTTCACTGGTTTGCCATATGTATGTCAATGAAAGAATCATTGGTGGTGCTGTTGTTATCGTCGTCGTCGAGTTTTGTCAATGATAAAATGATATGAGCCGCGTCACGATAAAACCAACATAGTACGTTTGCGACCAGCATAGATCCAGACCAGCCTGCGCATCCGCGCAGTCTGATCAGGATCCATGCTGTTCGCTATCATTTTATTTACTTGTAATAGGGTTGGTAAGCGAACAGCAAGGATCCTGATCAGACTGCGCGGATGCACAGGCTGGTCTGGATCCATGCTGGTCGCAAACCCATTATGTTGGTTTTCTCGTGACGCGGCTCATATGTTATACTACATGACATGTATCAACAATACATGTATATATACTATAATACGCGATTTCATCATCAAGATCGGAGTAATACATTGAAAAATAAACGAATAGAAAAAATAAGTTCCCTATATACAGGACAGGACAGAACAGTTTAGAAATTTCATTCAAAACATGTACATAGACTGATGATAGTTTATCAATTTACAAAATATATAATGTATACAATCTTGACATAATTATAGTCACATATCATTTGGTATCAAGAATTGGAATGTTTTTGAAAAAGGAAATCAACTCTTTCACTGAGGTCAAAAAGTCTAAAAACATATAATTTGAAATTTTTGCATATTAAGTCAAGTGAAACACTAAAAATGGGTAAACTGTAATACAGAAATAAACTCATAATTTAAATGAGTTCAAGACTTTTATGCATTTGTTAGCCCGATTTGAGTTATTAAAAAATGTTTAAAAAATGTTGGGTCATTCTGCAAAATAAATCAAACATTCCGAAAAAAAACGGGGGTGATGGAATTATTTGAAAATTTGCACACACAAGTTTTTGGTATAGACCTACATCAAATGGTATACAAATATTGGAGAAATATTTCCTGTCCCGTCATTTAAAAAAAACACCCAAGTGGAGTGCCTTTAATGTGCCTATTCGAGCCGTCTAAGGTTAATTTGTGAGTAGTTGATGACTTTTTAGAATTAAATTTGTTAATTAACAGCTAATTATATTTTAAAAGACTTTTAAGAATACATCACACGAAGTTCATCACTATAATATAAATATATGAAATAAAAAGATTATATTTAACAAATAATATAAAACTTGACATGAAAGTGGAATAAACGATATCATAGAAAATGTCTGCGTTTTATAAGTATATACTAGTACAATTATGACTTATTCTAATTTGCACAATTATTTCACATTTTTTTGTAAATCAGAACAAGCTATTTGTAAAATAGCCCCCGTATGATAACAGTTTCGTTCACTCATTTTTTATCATTATCATAATGTCATAATATTCCTATGAAAGATATATGTAATCTTATAACATGCTTACTCAGATCACACTCAACTGTTGAATTTAGACAAATATTATTGTAATGTTTATTTATAATTTATATGATTTGTGTGTATATTTTTATGTTATGACGATAATTAATAAAATTAAATAAAACTTCTGTTCTGTTCTGTTAAAAAGCAGAACAGAACAGAACAAATACTTTATTCAATAAATCAATATAATTTTATATAAGAAAGGAGACAACTTGACTCTTCTTCTATACATATTAACTAAATGTATTTGTAAATTGGTATATTACATATATAGATTACAAATTATAATGAAATATAAATTAATAGCTTGAGTTTAAAAAAATGCAATAGTGGATGATTTTCATAACTATTCTTTTTTTATTAATTTTCTTAATATTTAATAAATTTTCCTGTCGGGCGCTTCATCGTGTTACAAGTATAGAATAGAATACTGCAACATTGCTATGTATCCTACATTTTATAACAATTCGTGCATATTACTGTATTATCACCGTGCACATTGTATTATCATGTTTTCGGATTTCCTCGGGCGATCATGTGACCAGACAGGAACGTTACGGGAACACCTTTCACAGTTATATTCTAAAAGTCCCTTAAGCAAACCACTTCTTTTTCTTCGAAGCTTTCAATCCGATGTACTTTTATGTAAATTCAATATTTCTCCGCGGAATCATGGATATTAATTAAACAATTCACTGATTAAAATATGATTAAAATGTGTTACCTCGACGTTTTGTATGCTATCATATATATACCACGAGAGAAATAGAACAAAATGAGCTCGAATCCAACATGACAACACATTTATCTGTTTCATGATTACCTGTCAGATTAGTGTTTGTGAGATTAGAAGTTATAACTGTAACATTTTGTGGTGTGATAGCGCCACGTGAGCAACAATTCTGTTGAAAAAAGAAGGCGTGATTAATCATAAGTCACAGATGCCGGCGACGAAAGTCGGGAGGCTAAGCTGACGTTTACATAGAAGTGCGGATTTATTTACTGAGGCGGTTAATGTATATATTATAAGACAAAGCATGGAATAATAAGTATTAATATCTGATTTGAATAAGAGCTTTTTTCCAACCGCTGATGAGATGTAACGACTTGTTGTAAACAGTACAGTTTTTTTAATAAAAAGAAAATACCTGGCTAAGTGAAAGGCCCGGTTAAATGTTAAAAAATTAAGAAAAAATATAATCCAATGGCTAGATATGGCAGGATAAGATACATCCCTTAAACCAAATATTGAGCTACCAACAGTATAGAGCCCGGTTAGCCTGAACAGACATTTAGGCTGGCCTGGTTCAATACTGATGACAAAGGCTAATCACCCTCGGATTTAGCATGTTTGATCCAATATGCAGAAAGTGTTATGTGACACTCAGTTTTATGTTACTGAAAAATACTAATACACGGCTACCATACACTAGGGCTCGTGCATTCTTTTACTGGGAGATCATACGCCGCTTTTCGTGGACTGGCACAAACGTGCCACATGGATGGTTTCATGAATACATCCGTTGATGTTTCTAAATTCAAAATATCACCATCTTCATGTTTAAATGTACAATTCAGCTTAATCCGGTTCTTAATATTGCCGTTTAGGGCGTTCTTTTGGGATTCTGTTTTTTGTTCTATTATATTGCATTTTATCTTTAAATATATAACTTATTCTTCTTCTACACTTTTCTGAATAATCAACTGTTATATTACGTTTTGAATTTTTTTTTACTTATTAGAACAATTTGAACATTTTGTTTCGGGGTTTTAGATTTCACAGAACCTTCGGAGTTCGGATAATCATAGATCCAGAGCTTTCTAGTGAAACGAAATCAAAATCGTCAATGTTCTTTCGAGCATTTCTTTCTGGAACAGTTTCACATTTTGTTCTGAGACATTTTCACATTTTTCGGGACAATATCACATGTCCTTGGACAAGTCACAATTTCATTAGCTTGACCATATATTCACATGTGCGCTTTTTAACACATGTAGTTTGAATAAATTTTACCAACAGATACCATTCATCATTTTGAACGTTTCAAAAATATTTACGCTTTTTTTTATCTTGTAACTATAATTTGTTTATGTCATAAGAATTGATTTTTGTTTGATTGTTTTGGAACCTATAAGCTTATTAAAACACTGTCCAATCCGTTCCTTGAACCAAACAGTACTAAGCAATAATTGTAGAAATTCTGGCTCACGGAAACAACGGCCGGTCCCTGACGGGTTTTAAACCCATGCGACAAACAATCCTTAGATTTGCTGACATTTCTTTAATTTATTGAGGACATGTAGAAATAGATATATAGCTACTTTCAGATAGATTTCGTACACTAAATATGAATTTTATAATACAGATATAGAGAAAAAACGGAATCCTTAAAGAACGCCATAAACGACCGAACCGAAAATGTTGTAGATTGATTGAGCCTTTTCATGGACGGTACTGGAAAGTGCAAGTTACCATCCATGGTCCCTAGCTCCAGCTTAGTAATGGTAATTAATAAACATCCGAAGATATGTTCATACGACGGTTTTCATGAAATTTTCTATGCGACATGCTAACGCCGTTTAATGAAAAGCTGCATAGCATAACTTTACGAATTACACTTATAATCTCTACAAATAAACATTCCCTCCGTGATTTTGCACATCCATGTTCTGTCACTATCTTTGTATTTTACAAGGGACAAGCAACTATAAGACCGAAATCAAAACGCTTTCTACAAAGTTTAATAGGAAACTGATTTAGTTTTAAAAGATACATCTGTGCCACCTGACCCTTGGCATGCTTAGATGTAAGGTGCCGTAACACGGGTCTTTGGTTTAAAGTTACATAAATTGTCAGGATTATTATTACTTTTAGATGAAGTTGCAGGGGATCGAATCTGCAACACTTCAGCTTCTATGCACGCAATGGTTATATAAATGAAACCGGACTACGAGCCAGCTCTTATTAAATTAAACAAGAAGAAGAAGAAGAAGAAAAAAAGAAGAAAAAAGAAGAAGTAAAAGAAGTACAAGGAGTTGTTGTTTTTGATGATGATTATGATGATGATGATGATGATGGTGAAGATGATTATGATGATGACGATGATGATGATGATGATACTGTTAATGAAATAATATGCTATAACTCATCACAGAATATTAAAGAAAATCTTAAATATGTAACATAAGACGTTGTTGCATTTTTTCTGGTCACTCTTGGTCAATGATTCCAGTACATTAGTGAATTGGTGATTGAAAACTGCTCAGTCAGTGTTGGAGGGCAGGGGTCGGAGCGTGAGAGATGTTGCACCTTCCATAATCACTCAAAAACAGGCTCATTCAAACCGACTTTTGGACGTAACTATAAGAACTTCCAAAACGAATATCACATATAGCGGCATAGAGGGAACGAGAGAGTCAAGAACTGTCGAGGAATTTCGCATTCCGGTCGGTGCCATACACCGGTCGGTGCCATACAGGGAATATCAGAAAGAGCCAGATATTTCCGAGGAATGTCGCATAGGGGCTACATGGAATGTCTGAAAAAATATAATTCCGAGGAATGACGTATAGATGCATTTAGGGAATGCCGGCGTTATGAAATTTCAAGAAATGTCTCATAGATGCAAGTGACATTGAATGTCAGAAAGAGCAAGATATTTCCAAGGAATGTCGCATTAGGGCTACATGGAATGTGGGAAAGAGTAATATAGCTTCAAGGAATGGCGCATCGAAGCCCACAGGTTGTATTAAATTTAGAAAATGTCTTGTAATTTCATAAAATGTCGCATTATGTACGCTATAAAGTGTCGGTAAGTCAAGATATAGTAAAGACGCTTGCTTATAAAGCAAACGTTCACATTATGTGAAATATCATTAAGTTGAGACCTCCTTTTAGCCAAGTGGCAAATCATTTGATATTTTAAGATACATTTAATTAGTAAAAAAAGAATATTCCACCACAATTTAAATTGAGTATTAAAAAATGCCGATTTTTTTAGCAAATATTTTACCAATAAAGAAGATAAGGCAGGGATAGTAATTCCAAGCCAGTGGGACTTGTATTGCAAACCTTATTTATAAAAATGCTGAATTTCTTTAATGGACCCAGTCCAGCTTCCATTTTTGGCAGAGTCCATTAATAATTTTGGGTAGATCAAGATTTTTTAAAGTCAATCAGCCGTTAGTGTAAGGCCTTATCAGACTGCACTGTTGTGGCGAAGGCTTATCACTTTCGATTTTAATATTATTAACGATTTTAATTATTATTATTATTATTATTATTATTATTATTATTATTATTATTATTATTATTATTATTATTATTATTATTATTATTATTTATTTTTTTTGTAAATAAAATATCATCAAGTGAACAAAGATCTTAAGTACTGCTGTTTTTTTCTATTTGTTTCCAATAGTCAAAGAAGTGAACTATTGCGAAAATACAAAGAAAGCGATTCTCACGAATATGTCTTTGAATATTGTGACACCGTGTGTCCCAGGGTACAATGTTTTTAAATATTAAATCTAATTTAAAAACAGATTGATGATTCCAGAATGCCGATAGAAAGAATAGTGCAATATGTTAAGGTAATTTCAAAAAATATATTTTCTGAAACATTTAATAAAGAAATAATGATTATGCATCTAATTAAAACAGTGATTTGTACATTGAACTTCATCATATTACACAACATGTTTTCTTACTAACAAGTGCATTTCAGTTCACTCAATCAATGATATAATATAATATCCATTTTATTAGAATATTATTTTTATGTCTTTTATTAAGTCTTTTAATTTTAAAAATGCAGAATAAATAATTTTCAATACGCGTATTTCTCATTGAATATTTCTTTAAATCTAACTTGCAGCATACGAAATTATTTCAAATTTATCTTAACCTGAAATCTATACTTTCTGATGTGGAAGATAAATAGTTCATAATGTAAAACATCAAGAAAACACAGCCTACTAGTTTCCGACTTTAATTAAAACTTCTTCATCACAGAAGTAAATGTAGTTTAAAACATAAATATTTGTAAGCTAACTCAGCACCTTTATATCATTCTCAAATCTGATATTTGACCATGTAAATAACTCTCACTGGCATGAAAAAAAAACAACAACATTTAAAAAGGGGGGAGGGACACACGGGAAGATAAAGAAGTAGAAAAAAACAACACGAAAAGAGAAAAGTGTATTTTAATTTAATAATATTACTTAGTTTAGTTGAAATATATTAATATGTAAAATCACATTTCACCAGTCAGCGTGTTTTGAACTTTATTTTCAGATTTAAAGGGGAATTGCAGGGTTTAGATACAGAGGAGAAATTTTGCATGTTTAGACATCTGAAATCACATCACTTAATTCTCAATTCGTTAATTTAAACACTCAATCTAAATTTGATGCATTCAGCTAGGTTTTTAAGAACGTTATAAATTCAATAATAATACCATAATTTCATAAGATGCACAAATACACCCTCCAATAATGAAATTTAAGTTTGTAGGATATGTACACTGGTTATGTAATCAAATGACAGAAATCAAGAGACTTAAAAAAGGAAAAGAAAATAAAAACATAATTTCAAAAATCCTTAAATACTAAATTAATGATTCAATAAGCCAAAAAGGAAGGGCAATTAGTTAAGAACTGTCATGATCCACTTACTATCTCATAATAACAAATCATACACTTTTGTAATGTTTTTTATTCCATTTATTTATATTTGTTAAATCTCGACCACTTCCCAAAATACAGCAACTAAATTAGATATATCGTAAAATCCTATTGTTTTACATCCATATTTCATAGAAATACATAATTTAACTATCTCATATATGTAAATGTAAATTAAATGAATATTTTCACCCGAAGACAGAATTTACTATAATTTCAATAGTTTCTTAATAAAAATTTGAATAAATACGTACCCAATATGTGGTGGAAACATTCTTAAGTTTCACTCAAATAAATGCCGAAGTTTTCCAAATATATCCTTCCAAAAGTTAGGGTCCTCTATGACTTTTATGAATAGGAAACGATGAGCCAAAGTTAAGGTTTCGTTACAGTGCAATAAAAATAAGCTATCATTCTAAATGAAACTTTGGGTTTCTTTTCATTTACCTGTGACAGATGAAAATATCTATTTTATTTCACGGTAGGCGGTGCTAATATGCCACGTGACACCTAATTTGTCACCCCACGTGACCTTAGGTGAAACTTGTAAAGCCACTTGTGCGTACAGCCGTGTCCGATAGTCAATCAAAAACTCATTATACGGTACCATATGATTGGATTATTGCTATTTACAGATAAACCACGCCCCTATTCACGCCCTTCTTCAAATCCAATTACCGTATACGAAAGCAAATATTCAACCACTGTAACATCGACTTTTGAATCAATAAACACTGCGTAATAGCCTCGTAGCTTAAGTCCTCGCCCAATATCTGCTTTTACGTTTTATATTTAAAATAAGCGAGAGTCGGAAGTTAATTATTAAATAAATGTTGCGCATTCATTTTCATATTCACACTTTTAAAAAATTGCCGGCGCTTTGGTAAGTCAAGTGGACCAGTGAACGTTGAAATACTATCCTGAACGATCGCTGCCAAAACAGCGGGGAAGCATAATTGGCAGTTAATTGAATTAAATAAACACCAGCATTTTAAAGTTGTGTCTTTTCACCGCCTTTAGTGACAAAATAATCGTGTCTCATAGCTATTCACTGGATATATTGGGCATAATTCTAACGTTTGCTCCAGTATTATCCAGAGGGTAAAATTATATCGATACCCCACCCACTGAGATAATAAGCGGTGTAACGCTGGTGAAATTGGTATAGTACAAACTTGATTTGAAAGCGACTTAGGGGGTCGGGATGGAAATTTGTCAGCCAAACATGCCCATTCTGGTGTTAACAAAAATCTGCTCTTTTCGAATGAATATGTGTGGTATTAGGTTTCAGGGAGGCTCGTTGCTCTTAGCTCCATGTACTAATTTTATGTCCAATTTGACTAATAATTTGAGCCCATTGTCAGGCAAACACTGCGGCATTATTATTCATATATTCCGTGCTAGAGTAAGCTGAATTCGAACCCCGCCGAGAAGTGAACATGTGCTAGTCTGACACGATCTGTCGGTCACAAATAAAAGTATCAAAACACAACGGTGATTAACCCTGAACAAAGGAATTATAATTCTATCAAAGAATTACAAAGAAGTAGAAAATTAAAATTTTACGATTTTTAAAAATAATAAAACAAATATTGTCATGGTGATTTGCGGATACCCGGCAGATTAAATTGTATCTTTTGGAGGAATAAATATTCATTCTTAAATAATTTTATGCATCGTTTATTTTTTATACCGGGTATCTAACAAACTCAATGCAATTTGTTTAGATTCTCAATCAAACTTAATTCTTAATTCCTCAAAGATCCTACCACGTTCATGTGTTGAACATGTTCCGTTTAATTCTATATATTTTTTTTTTTTGTTTTTGGATGAACATGCGAGTTCGTTAGTTTTAATTATGATAAATTGTATCAAAATATTTGAAAAAAAAAATTACCTTCGTTTTCTTTTCACAACTTGGACTAATTTGTTAATTCGTAAACCGTTCACTTCAGTGAGTTATTCAAAATAGTTATTTCTTTTTTAACTAAATGTTTCTTCCCATAACTAGAATATTTGTAAATTAAAATATTTTTTATACAAATTAATCTCACATATAAAACTTTTGTGAATTTTAAAGGGCAGCCGTAATCTAGTGGTAAGATGTATGGCACTCAAACCAAGACTCGCGTGTTCGAGCCAAACTTAAGTCGATATCACGTTTCCTAACATGACATGAGTATTACAAATACAAGTTCGTTACAGGAAGTGGAACCATTGAGGTGGCTGACCTGAGCTCTGCTTTATTCAATGTGACTTGATTTATACAGAATTTATTTAAGTTTGATTAAAATAGGAAGCTATAACCAGCACTGAGCAATTAGTGTAAAGTTTGTTTTTTGTTTCTGATTTTGTTTTTTTTGTTTTGCTTATGACAACGACCGGTCCCTGACGGGATTTGAACCCATGCGGCCAGCGTGATGTGACTTACTGTCTTGTTCCGGAGAGTAAACTACCAACATCACCAGCTCGAAGTGGAATCGAAAGTGGTCATATAAGCTGCAATTTTTTAGTACCAGACTTGAATAAACAATGTTCAAAATAATGACAATTTTAACCCTTTCGTTGCTTTTATGTATACAAGATGGGTATACCCGCCGCTCGGCGCACAGTGCCGTCCAAGACAGATATATCTGAAATTGATTTATCTGATAAGTGATTTTTATACTCTTTTAGTAGATGTTATAAAATTTCATGGCAAATAAATTTTGATATAATTTGGACAATCTGGTCCATGGTCTGAACCAGTAGTGGTAGTGGTGCTCCTTCAAGTATTCTGAACGACCTACACTTACCATGTTCAGTCAGTACATATTTTGATCATTCCGCTAAAACCACGAATGTTTTCTTTCCAGACTGAAAGATGGAGAAGTCCATTTTATATATTTAACGTGGTAAGAGTTAAAGTGAATTTAGCTAAGTTTAATACCTTTTTACGTTGATACGTTTGGCTACAATCATTTTGTATGCTGGAAGAGTTAAATAAATCCCCATCCTCCCTAACAATGTCTATAATTAGATTAGTACAATATAACAAGTAGTAATTACTTTTTGCATCTTTAATTTCATTTTAACCAAGAGTGTGCGTCTGTCATTCTTGTTGTAGAGTAGGACAGTTATACAATCGGCTTGGGGGACAAAAATGCAGACATCTTAGACACAAATGGAAGCCGAAGTCTTCTTTCGACATCTCACATACCCTTCCTGTAAGGCTCTTTTTCCGATTTAAAATTCAAACACGCGATGAATATTTCATGCATTTAATGATTATTACATTAATAGAGAAACATGACTTTTAATCATTCTTCTAGGCGTTTGCATGTTCCCGTATCAATCGCTTCGTTGTCCTGGATGTCATTTAAAACAGTAGGAAGTCTCGCAATATCACGCCCATTCACATCTGCCTCGTTTTAAACGCGAAACCAAATATGGCGGGTCAAAGAATTATTTCTTAATTTGTGAATTATTCCCGGTCCGGATAGCTCATGAGCGACGGCCAATTCTGATCGTTCCTCTCAAAAAAGAGAAAATACTTCTTAGACGTCCCGTTTTGTGTAACAATAAATGTTGTTTAAGGCAATAATTGCATGTCCTACAAATTGGCATGTAATTGTGCGACCATTTGCGCCACACGCACTTTCTGACATTGAGATGCTTAGAAAATATTGTCAATGAGGCTGTTATTGTAGTCAAATGATAAAATTTTCACGAACTTTATTTTTGGACAAAATATTATTGTATTTTGTTGTCGGTGCATTTTTCAAGTCTTCTTAAAGGCACGTTTAGACATAAATATGTTATCATTTTTCTAAATCTATTTTTTGATTGTCTCGTGACATTTTTCAAACAAGGCACTCAGTGGCCATATACATATGTCATCTTTTGCTTCTATTGAGTTTCGGCAATTAGTACAGTAATAGTGAATATGTTTTTGGTATGGAAGCAAAGATACTACTGTGTTTACATTTTGATACCTTTATCGCAAGTAATGTCACATTCAGTGCTATTTTTGTCAGGTTATGAGCAGCATACATTATGTTCTAAATCCATATAACAACCTTATAAACACAGTCATGCTTGCCCTTTCTACAGAAAGAATAATTTATTCATTTCTAAGGTATACTGTGCCTTTAATATTCTTTTTTATTATTATTACAGGGGGATAAGGTCATCCTGATCGCGGTGGTTTATTGCCATTGTTAGGTACAAAGCTGATACCAGTATACCCGATTTGTATTTAAACGATAGTTTTTCTTATGATATAACCTTGAAGATGAATAACTTCCGAGAAATAACATAACATTTTACAGAATGTATATAAAACTATTCAAACAAGAAAGTAGTAAATATGGGCATGAGAAGATGTTTTAATTTAAAGCCAAACATGTTGTGGTGACGATACTTGAAATTGAACAACAACATTTAAGTGATATGCTAATTTTTAAACTGTCAACTTGAGTCGAATAAGTAATATATATATTTCAAGTGATTGACTATTATAAATTGGTGATTGACCAATGATTAATGATGAGCTTATGATGTGTTTTTTTGTAATCAGTAATCTGTTTCATTATTAAGGCATAAAAATCAAAAACTTTTATCATTATTCATCTAACACAATTATTAAATTGAACCATTGCCATAAATGTGAGACTTTTCGGAGCTGCAATGTTGCTACAAGAAATCAAACCAATTTGCCATATAACATCCACAATAGGCAATATATATCTTAGCATTATTTACATAGTGGAGAAGTTTTGTGTTTAGTCAAATGCCCACATAAATATAGAAAATGGCTAGATATAGTTTAATAAAAGAGAAATTCTTGTCAAAATCTCTTATAGACAGAACCGCTTTGGTTAAGATTAAGTCCCTTTATGTGAAACAAAGGGGAACTGTTCTGTGTTCGCACAAATTGACTGTTACACAAAAACAAATCTATAACCAGTCCACAACGTCTAATGAGCAACCTGGAACCCTTCTAGTAGTCTCGCGTGATTACGTGAGATTTAAAATGTCAACGGAAGACATGCGTTAATTCGATAAAAACAAGAATGACAAAAGGCTCGCAGCTCCCAAATATGTCCCTTAAGACCCAATCTTGTCAAGAGAAAACATTTTGTCTAATTCAAAGAACATGATATATGGGCGGTGTGTTTTCTTCGTCGTCAGCCAGTGGAACAATTGTAGTGTCAGCAGTTTATTATAGCCTTATTCTCGACCCTGACATAAGTGTATTCATCGGAAATACTATTATCTACGTTCCTCAAACACGTAGATACATGTATTTGATTAGACAATTGAATAACAAAACAATACGAGTTTTTGTGCAATGAAAAATCTAAGTGAAAAAGATTCTGTTTAAAATTAGAGTATAAGCAAGTGATTGTCAATGCAATATTGTCACAATCATGTAAAATAATCATTTACATATATACATGTAGATTAGATATAATTACTAAAATATGATTAACATTTATAAAGTCTACGAGTGCCGATTTTTATCTATTGCAATCCTATTACCCATAATAGAACCATAATTTTTGTCTAAGCAGAATAGCATGAACGATATATATACATGTATATATATTATATTTGTAAAGCTTGTTTGAATCAATCTCTGGGGCGTCCGTGACCGAATGGTTAAGTTCGTTGACTTCAAACCACTGGCTCCTAACTG